GTGATTTTTTTTTCGGTAGTCTTCCCTGAATCCCACTTTTCCCATAGGCCCTGTTATTTCTACAGAGCGATTTTTTATAACATGATGGGCAAGAACACAATTATTACGTTATAGTTGAACCAACTGTATGGGAGGTATGGTTAATAAGTTTGCAGATGACACCAAAATTAGTAGTGTAGTGGAGAGCACAACAGGACTTTGATCAGATGGGCAAATGGGCCGAGGAGTGGCAGATGGAGTTTATTTTAGATAAATGTGAAGTGCCGCATTTTGGTAAGATAAATCAGGGCAGAACTTACACGGTTAATGGTCGGGCCCCAGGGAGTGTTGCCAAACAAAGAGACCTTGGGGTACAGGTTCATATTTCCTTAAAGTGGAGTGGCAGGTAGACAGGGTAGCGAAGGCAGCAATTAGGACACTTGCCTTTCATGATCAGTGCATTAAGTGTAGGAATTGAGGGGTCACGGTGTGGCTGTACAGAACATTGGTTAAGCCATTTTGGAATACTGCATGCAATTCTGGTCTCCCTGCTGTAGGAAAGATTTTTTATTTATTCATTCACCAGATTTACCAGAGGGCAGTTAAAAGTCAACCACATTGCAGTGGGTCTGGAGTCACATGTAGGCCAGACCAGGTAAGGAGGGCAGTTTCCTTCCTTAAAGGATATTAATGAACCAGAGGGGTTCTCCGACAATAGGTTCATGGTCATCATTAGCCTCTTAATTCCAGATATTTATTTAATTCAAATTTCACCATCTCCTGTGGTAGGATTAGAACCAGATCCCCAGACCATTACCTAGGTCTCTGGATTGACAGTCCAGCGATAATAGCACTGGGCCATTGCCAGGTTTCAAAGAGATCAAGCGTAAACAAAAGGCCAAAGAGAGAGATCTAGGTGGAGGTGCAGTAGTGGAGATGAAAGGTTGTGTGGGGGGGGTGGAGGTTGGGGTGGTGTGTGGAAGAGAGAAGTGGAGAGACAGAGTGAAAGAAAAACAGGCAGAGAGAGTGTGGAAAAGAGACAGAGACAGAGAAAGAGAAAGAGAAAGAAAATGATAAACAGAATTCCTGCCCAAGGAGGCAAAGGCGATACCATCATGTCGTGCCAAAATTTCATTGAGGCGGGGACGTAAAGTGGTAGAGCTAAGTCCTTTGTTGTTCACCATCTGGTGGAGGCGGGGGGGGGGGGGGGGGGGGGGGGGGGGGGGTTGGACAGAGTAGTGAATGCTTGGCAAAAGAAGGGATGGAATTGGAGAGAGCTGGAATGGATGAAGAATCTAGATGGGTACTGATACTGGAGTTTTTGGAGCTTGTATCTGAAAAGAAGAGGAAAGTTTCTTCTTACAGTATCAAATGAGAGGAAGAACAAAATATAACTTAGGATCAGAACAGGTTTGAAAGAGCATGAGATGGTGCTGATGGAGAGAGCGAGGCTCAATGTACATATAACGACACTGAAGGTGGATCTCAGGATGTGGCAGTAGTAGCTGCCAGAGGAGCATTGTATTACTCAGAAAGACCAGTAATCTTGCAGTGAATTTGAAACATGAAGGGGATAAACCAGCTGAGCACTAAAACTGTAGAAAATCAGTTTCGGCAGTGTAGTTGGAATGGTTTTCAAATAGAAGATGTTGAGGAGCCAACCAAGGAAAAGTATTTCAGATCTAGTATTAAGTAATGAGAAAGGCAAATGTTCAAGATTTTTGTAAAAGAATGGTGTTAAATTTGAATATGGGAAATTACAACAGCATGAGGTACAAATTTGCTCCAGGGGATTTGAAAATACATTAAAAGGCATGAGGTTGTTGACTTGCTTGCCGAGCTGGCTTGTTTTTTGTTCAGACTTTTTGTCACCATGCTAGGTGACATCATCGGCGGAGCTGCCGATGAAGCGATGTTCTTCTCCTCCGCTTGGAATTTATACTGTCGTGTCCGTTATGGTTGAGTAGTGTTATTTCTGGTTTTGATCTGTATGGGTTTGTATATGGGGTCCAAGTCTATACCTTTGTTGATTGAAGTATAGTTGGAAAACCATGGCTCCAGGAATTCCTGTACGTGTCTATGTTTGGCTTGGGCTACTATGATTACTTTGTCCCAGTTAAATTGATGGCCTCTATTTCTCCCACATCACGGTTCCCACATTTCTGGCATTATCTGCAAAGTTTTTGCCCAATCACTTAATCTGGCTATGTCCCTCCATAGACTGTGTTATCGTCCTGAATAGTTGCTTTCCCACTGATGTTTGGGTCATCTGCAAACATTCATTTGTCAACTAAGATATTTACATTGTAAACAATTGTTGCTCCAGTATTTACAGATTGTTATTTTGAAAATACCCCCTCTATCCTATTCACTGCTGTCTGATCAGTCACCTGCAGTAGAGAAATAGTGTCTGCAGTTGAGCCTGTGCGCCACTGTTGTAACAGTATCCTTCCACCACACAACTTAAGTGACAACTGCTCCATAGCACATGGGCTAGCTTTTATTTAGATCAGCAAATATTTGTACTATGACTAGCTGTCCAATACTCAACTCTGAATGGTTTCGCAGTCTTGTTGAAATGAAATTTGGTTTTATGCCACGTCACCTTAAATATTTCACACACCTTTACCTAATTCTCGTTTCAGTAGTTGCAATGCTATTGAAATAGTTTGTATGTGGCATGACATCATTCTTTGTACCACCTAACCTTCCATGCCTTCAGTAGGTATGTTGCTTCTTCATTTAATGAAAATGTGCATAAAATTATCCACTTTGGTAGCAAAAATCAGAAAGACAGGTTGAGAGCTGAATGGTTATAGATTGGGAAAGGTACACGCACAAAAAAACACTTGTGTCACCTCGTACACCAAATCACTGAAAGCATGCATGGAGGTGTGGCAGGCAGTGAAGAAAGCAAATGGTACATTGTCCCTCATAGTGAGAGGATTTGACTACAGAAACAAAGATGTCTTGCTGCAATGGTACAGGGGGCTTGATAAGATCACACCTGGAGTGTTGTGTGCAGTTTTGGTCTCCTTATCCGAGGAAGGATGTTCTGGCTACGGAGGGAGTGCAATAAACGTAAACCAGACTGATTTCAAGGTTGGCAAGGCTGATGTACATAGACTGGATCAGTTTGGACTAGATTCACTGGAGTTTAGAAGAATGTGGGGCACTTCTTCAAAATCAATAAAATTCTAAGACTAAACAGGGTAAAAACAGGAAGGATATGCCCATGACAAAAGAGTCCAAAAGCAGAAGCAACAGTCTAAAGATACAGCGTAGGCCATTTAGGACTGAGATAAGGAGAAATTTCTTCACTCAGAAAAGAAAGTGAGCCTGTGGAACTCTGCGATAGAGGGCAGTTGATGGCAAAACATTGAATGTTTTCAAGGAGTTAGATACGGACCCCACAGTTTAAAAACCAGGTGGGAAAACACACCGATGCTTCATCAGAGGCTGCACTGAGGATGTTACCAAGCACGGTAACAAAATGTCTGCGGAACAACAAACCAGCTCGGCGAGCCAACCAACCTCAACACCCCCAACCCGAGCTACAGATCTACTCCAAAACCTTAGAGTTAGATACAGTTCTTGTGGCTAAAGGGATCAAAGGGTATATTAGGGTAGTGAATTGGGTGATCAGCCATGATCATGTTGAATGGTGGACCAGATTCAGAGGAACAAATGGTTGATTCCTTCTCCGATTTCAATGTTTCTATGCTGTGGTTGAAGTGCTCCCTGGAGACCCAAAATGTGTGTTTTTCAACTGAATTTTTCTCCACATTCATAACCTAGTTGCTTCTATTCTTACCAATCTTCCAAACTCCTCCTCCTCCTGCTGCTGCTGTAACCCCAAACGCAGCTGTACCATATTACCCAAAACAACAATGCCTCTGCTCTGAAGGTGGCTGCAAATAATGAAACATCAGTAAAATAATTTCTTTCATAAGTCAGAATTCAGCTTTGTGAGTCAAAACAGAATAAGGATATCCTAAAGGTGACCAGCAGTGTTTCCAAAAAATATTGTTCAAGGGGCTTGAGTCTGTTAGCATCTTGGCAAGTTTATCAAAGGATCGCCACATCAGACAGAAGAACCCAAAAGACCCTTATGTAAACATTTGAATAAGCATAAAGTCAGAGTTATATAGCACAGAAACAGCCCTTCAGTCCAGCTGGTCTGCACCAACTAGACATGCCAATCTGACCTAGTCCCATTTGCCAGCATTTGGTCCATATCGCTCTAAACCTTTCCAATTCATGTACCCATTCACATGCCTCTTAAGTGTTGTAATTGTACTTGCCTCTGGCAGTTCGTTCCATACATGCACCGCCCTCTGCATGACAAAGTTACCCCTCAGGTTCTTTTTAAATTTTTTCCCTCTCTCGTTAAGTCTATGCCCTCTAGTTTTGGAACCCCCCGACCCCGGGGAAAAGACCTTGGCTATTCACCCTCTCCAAGCCCCTCACGATTTTATAAACCTCTATAAGGTCACCCCTCAACTTCTAATGTTCCAGGTAAAAAAAGCCCCAGTCTATTTAGCCTCTCCTTGTAGCTCAAACTCTCCAATCCCAGGAACATCCTTCTGTCATTTGTCCTGTTCATTTACAGAGCAGCCTGATTTGAATAACAGGTGGCACATTGCCTGCTCACAATGTCCAACACATGCATGGGGCCATATAGAATTGCTAGACTTTTACACGTGGAGAGAGTTGGCACTTCTGACATTTTTCTAATTTGGAATTAAGTTCCAACATCACATGGCTTGAAAGCAGAAAGGAATGTTCTGATTGCATTGAAACATCACAACATTGTGAAATGTTATCATTTCTTTCACTGCTAAAGATTTGCTGACTGTAATTAAAAGAAAAGCCCACAAGGTATGCTAAGATCGAAGTTGCAGAAAAGTAAATGTGAGAGCACAAGAGATCCTACCCTGAGGGATGAACGAACCAGATGATTATCAATAAGTGGCTGTCCCACTTGGAAGTAAATGATTTTAGCAAAATCTACAAACGTCTTCAATAACTTTATTTATTTGTGTAATCACTGAGTTGTTTCATGTCTCAAGGCCCAGAATGCAAATAAAGCCAGCCAGATATGCAAGTGCATGTCAAAAACATGGTGCAAATTGTAGCAACTGGCAAAAACTGGAGCTTAATAATCAAACAGAAAGGTCTTCATTTCACATCAATTCAATCTCTGTGCAACTTTATAATTAAAGCCACTCTAGAGAACTCTCTGAAAATCCGTTATAAGAGCAATGATTAAATCCTGTGGCATTTCCAGGCCTGGCAATATTACATAAAACGGAAGGAAACATGTTAATGAAGGGAATGCTGCCATAGGATTCCATTGGTGCAATGACAATACTTTATAAAAAGTATCACAATATTCTAATCATTAAAATGACAGGATACTAGTTTTATTTACTTTTTCTAGAGATATAATGATAATCTTTGTGCAGGTAAGATGGTCTGATTTTGAGTTCTGTTGCTGAGGCCTGATTATCACGGTTAGCAGCGATCACAATAGTGACAAGCTGGCATCGTTCTCACCAGCTTTTGCAGGTCACAACGCAATAATGGGATGGAAACTCCCAGAAGTTCCACTCAAGTCAATAATGCAACCGTCACAAGACAACCTAGCACTTGACATAATCTTTGTCCATGACCATTTTCCATTGCTTCTTAATGATGTAAACAGTGGATTAGCATGAAGATCAGCACAACTTTAAAGACAATGGCCCCCTCAAACTGGCTCTGGGATATCCAAATGTCCCCATTCATTCAATCATATTCACTGATTAACAGAATAAATAGGTTTTAAAAAGATTTTCAAATCTAAAGCCACATCAAGAAAGTGTGGCAACATGAACAGTGAAGACGAGCAGGGATTTAATAAAAATAATAACTGATTCATCTCCCAGTCTTGCAGGAAGTCTGATGAAATATGATGGAGATATGCTCCTGCTGCTGCTGTGCAGTCTCTTCGATGTGCTGTGATAGTGATATTTCTCGAATACTACTTCACATTTAATATGGCACCAGAAGTGGTGTGGCAGGCACGTCCATCGTCTTTCAATATGACAGGCATTGGAGCCATGCAGAACACATCACCGTGAGAAGTAGTTGACAACAGGTCATACTAGATGTATGGTCTTAACAGACACAGCACCACCTCCCAGCAAGGTCTGGCTTTCTTTGTTCTCATTTTTAGTGCAGCATTTAAGATCAATGTGGACATTCAGGGCACCGACAAACACTGTCACTGAGGCAGCAGTAGCAGTAAGTAGTCTCAGAGCACTAAACTCACATATTATAGGCCACGTAAATGGGATCAAGCTGATCAGCTAGGAAACCATCCCGAAGGTGCATTCGCTGCTTTTCACCACGTGAGTTGATGGGAATCACCCCAGGGTCCACCACAACTACCACTCCCACAATCAGATAATGTTCTTCTAAAACAACATTAGTAACCAAGGCAACCAAGTCCAGTGCTTCCTGTTCAGACCCATCTAATTCCACCACTACAACAAGCAGGTTGGTCCATGTAAAGACAGCACTGTGGAAAAATAAAAACATTCATGAGAAAAAGGTAGCATAATGCTTGAGGGAGTTCTTTCTTTAAAAAAAGTCCATAGATAGAAAATAAAATTATTTACAGCACTAAGTTTCTATCATGAACCTTGATAAAAAAGTAATATCCAAGTTAGTCACTTCTGACCAAGTTCTTCTTCACTCCAATTCCATCTATTACCTGCCTCCCACCGCTCAGTAACTTTTCTCTTAATAATTTAGCTTAATGTCTAACTTAAAATATCCCTACGTAGTGAATGTCATCCACCATCCATCTGTCTTTGCTTTATGTTCTTATCAACTCATGTTTTTCAGGACACCTCTGCTGGCAGGATTATGTTGCTGTGGTGGGTTATGTTGGAGATACGTACTACTACAATTCTGACAGCATTCAAAACCTTCAAATTTAACAATCTCTTCCAGTGGATCCCATGTCTGTTCCCTTTCACTTGTGGACTTGGGGCCTGTATTCCAGTGCATTTCAGTTTTACTCTGTTGCAATTTTGGATTTTGAGCAGAAATCTGTTTCTTCCTGGCCCAATTCCACATCTCTATTATGAACACCACATCACTTTCTGCTGAGACTGCATTCTCTATCAGGCTGCCTTTAATCACTGCTAGGCAAGCTCCTGTGACCTCAGTCATTTTGTGGGATGTCTCATTCTACACTTGGCTCTCTGATTCATCATGTTCCAGGTTCTGGTCCAATGTAGTTGGAGTGATCTCTGTTTCGCTCACTGCAGTTCACGAACTAAATTGCTCTCTCGCTCTTCGGAACGCCGGCATCATCCTTCACTGCACTAGATTATCCAAGCCCTTAAAATCTAGGTTCAACCTCATCATCTCAAGACTCTTTAAATTAGCTACTGATAAGACGGATTTAGATTTTGTATCCCTGCCTTTTAGCTTTTTGTTTAAATCCCACTGCTCCTTCATATGCTGGCCTAAGGGATTGGCTGCTCTGAAGGTAACGTCCTGGAACTGCAACTTGACGATTAACATTCCATGGTTAGCTCAGAGTCAAATCTCCACTACTCCTCAACCCTCTGACTTTCACCTCAGATTTACCAGCTGTATACAATGGACAACCAAACTGTGTACTGGTTGTGTGTCTTTGATGGTCTACAAGTTGACAGTGCCTCAGATATTAACTTGATTACATCTTTTTTCTGGTCTTCTGGTTTAGGACATCATTTCTTGTGGTATATGACAATTTTCCATAAGACCGGTGGTGCCCATTTTGGCAGCTCTCCTGTGCCCATGTCCAACTCTTTTGATATCCAATTTTCCCCTAATTATCCTCCTCCATTTTTCACCCATTCATGCCCCATTTTATTTCTTCCTTCTTGAATACTTTCCCAATTCATTGCCTATTTGCATACTCTTCTGTCACTGCCAATTTGACAGTTCAGTTGGAATAAAGAATTCTATCTGAAATCATGGGGTCAGTAGATTAAGCATCAAAGCTTATATTAATCTTTCTGATTAATTCATGCCTTACCATTCAGCAATACTCTTGTGTGATCTAAGCACTGAGGTCTCAATATCAGTTGGGTGATAACGCATTCCTCTCAACTCAAGGGTCTCATCCAAGGATCCAACCACATAAAGGGCATCATGACGTTCTGCAACAGAAGAGATAAATATCCTCATTTAGATAAGTCACTTCTAGTTAGCAACAGGGAAAGAGATGAAAGCATTTTTTCTGTAGACCTAAAGTCCTCACGAGCACTGAATTCTTCACATGCAATTTTTTGAGGACTTGAGTCCTGAAGGAATTTGGGGAAAAAAGGGATGTATTTTAAATTCTGTGGAGATTTCTTTATAAAAGGCTAATGAAAAGGCACATGGAAAAAATTTCCTACAAACCTACATGGTTTCAGAGAGTTGTTGGACTTGCTTGCTGGTAGTCACTTGATTGGGTTTTATGGCTGATCTGTCTGAGCAGCATTTTGCCAGCAGTTGAGGTTTTGATTTTCAGCTGAAGGAAAGCTTGAGAACTGGCCTCTTATCTCACATATTCTGTTTCCAAAGCAGCTCTGTTGTGACTCCAGCGTGAAACCGGATTGCCCTCTTGAAGAATGACTGGAAGACTTCATGACACTGTTTCCTGAGCAAGCTGCCAGGATCCCACCCCAGAGACAAATGTTGTGGCTGGTGATTTGTCTACTTGTTCCAGGATGCCAGATCAACAGCCACCTTCTCAAAGGCAACTAGGGTTGGGCAATAAATGCTGGTCAGCCAGCAACACCCATATCCCAAGAGTGAATAAATAAAAACACTACATGCCACATCACCATGCATTTGCAGAACATTAACTGCTTCCAAAATGTAAAATACCTTTCCTGGGAACTCTACTGTAAAGTAGCTTGCCCGGAATCCAGTGTAGTTATCCTACCCCTTTCCCAGTGAACCTTAGTGTAGGTGTCCGCATCCCCAGAGACGCCAGCATTAATGCACTCCCTCACCTCCTGGGGACTCCAGCGTAATCCAACACTCCCCTTTTTCTGGGGATTCCAGCATAAACACAATCCCTTCCTCACAAAGAACTCTATCATAGAGATACCATATCCTACGAGGGGACTCCATTTCATCTCAATAAATCAATCTCTCAAGTCTTTGCTGCAGCCAAAGACATCCTTCCTTAGGTAGGGAGACCAAAATTTTACATAAAACTCCAGCCGTGTTCTTAGCCTATACAATCGCAGCAAGACTTTTTAATCATTATTTCTCAACTCGCTGACAATAGAGGTGAACATATCATTTGCTTTCCTAACTGTTTATTACACCAGTATGATACCTTTGTAATTAGTATACAATGATACCCAAATCCCTCAGAATACCAATTTATTAGTATTAACACAAAAATGATTCTGCACTTTCTCACGTTATACTCTAACTGCCAATTTCTTGCCCAATCTCTGAAGCAGTTATATATTCTTCTGTAACCTGTGCTTTCCTCACAACTTACCTCCCCGTCTAGTTGCAATGTATTAACATTTATCCCTTTAAAACTTGTGCAACTTTACCAATGTACTTAAATGAAATGCAGTGCACAATTAAAACGTGAAAACCACACTAAACAATTAGCTAAATTACATTTCACATTGTTTGTGCACACCAAGACTTACCTCCAGTTGCATCAGTTAACTCTGTTCTTCGAAGAAATCCCAGATATCCTGTCCGGGCCCACAAAGTTTGAGTGTCCCCAAAACTGAGTTTGGCATTAAAATGGTCAGCATGCAAGGACTCTTCACCATAAACAGTGTAGTACCCAGTAGCATTGTGAGGGCTGCTTACCCAGATCTGATCAAGGAAAGCATCACAAATCAGCAAATCATTGTTTCTTACACATTAAAGTGCTCCGTCAATTGGCAAAGGAAGAGACCTTAACTCAGTTTTAGATTTATTTACAAAGTGAGACATTTTTAAGTGTATAATTCCCAATTCATTAACACTGTTGGCAAATTAGAAAGACTCTCTAGATGTGGACATCAATGATACAACGACCGACTGCAATCTCAATTTCTACAGCTAAAACTCTAAACTCTAACCAAACAACTCTAACTAGCAGATAAAGAGAAGCAGACAGTTGAATTTATAGCCTTCGACAGAATTTTAAAAAAAGTTGGCATGTCATGTTTGTTACGCACATTCTCTCTATTAATTTTACTGTCACACATATTATTAATTAACTACTGTGAGTGAGAAGCTTTTTCCCTACAAGACTTGAATACATAAATCGAGGTCAGAATGTAGAGGATATGAGCGGTTAACAAGTAATGCTTGCAATCTGGATTTTCTTCATTGACGGCACTGTAGCATTTGCATCAGTTCTTGGGCTGTTTGTGAATTCTGTCAAAATTCAGGCATTTTCTGCCAACAGTTTTGGCTTACAAGTATTTTCACCATGCTTAATTTAAATTGCTTTGTTTTAGTATTAAAAAAACTGCTATTAGCCTTACAATCTGTTTTTCTGCATTGTGTTGCCAATTCTATAAATTCTTCAAGAGTGATCATCACACTATCTCCTATCCTTCAACCCCAGCTCCAATATTTATTCAATCATTATAAAAAGTATTCAAAGAAGGTGACCTTTAGAATGATTTATTTAGTATGGTTTTGTCCTTGATTGCTCACAGCAGTATCCAGGGGAATTAATCTTTCATTCCAGGAGACTGAAGGAGAATCCAGGTGGTTTTCAAGCCTACATTTCCTGTTTCTGAAACAGGAATTCTACAGTCACAAAAGTCTAAAACAATAGGCAACAATTGATGTCTGCTGCAGTCTTCTTCAAATATCTATGCAGTGCTTATTTATTCTGTGCATGAATTGAAGTCCTCATGAGCTCTTGGATTACTGTAATGTTTAGGCAGAAGAGGGTTTAGTGTTTTTGCTTGTCTGGAGTTGACTTAAATTGAGTATTGAGTTATTAACAAATCCATACCAGTGGGTTCTTGATGCTAGCAGAAAAAGAGTGGTGCAAAGTAAACTCTATTTATTACTCTCCCAAACAACTGGGTTACAGACTCATTCTAGTTTCAGCTGCAGAAAGTTGATCATCCGCTTCAAATTGCCACCTAAAAGAGCAGACACCCATCGTTTCCGCACATACAAGGACGGTTCAGACTGCAACAGTAGCCAGGAAATTTTTTGAATATGATCGCTTTGCTGCCGTTATCTTGGCAGAATTATCAAGGAAACCCTTTCCAGCAAAGCAACGCCAACGATACAAGGGAGGAAATCCGAAGAGTATCCCACCTGACGAGCTCCAAAGTCATGATCACGTTTTCAGCTTTTGAAATGACTTACAACAAAACAGCATTAGATCAGATGAAGGGATAAAAGTGGGGCATAATAATCATGTCAGTAGACCAGTCATCCGGATTAATCCAAATGAATGACCTGAAAGCAAATCCCAGCAGCAATGAGCATCTATTATTGAAACTGGAGTATGAAGTAGATAAACAGCCTCCTGCAAGTGAAACTAGAACAAGTCTGTGATCCAGTTGTTTGTTGGAATAACAAATACAGTTTACTTTGGAAGATGCAGCTTAGAAGTTTTGCTTTACATTAGCATCAAGAATGTACGAGTATGGACATGATTAGTAACGCAATACTCAATTACATTATAAATACATGAGCCCAATGTGACAGCGAGAGGGGTTCCTGGCATCAATGGCAGTCATCCCAAACAGCAGGAACACACGACCCGAAGCAGCCAGAGGTGAGTGCGGGTGCTGACAGCCCGAGGCGGTCAGTGGCAAGAGCAGCCAGCCCGGCTGGCAGTGGGAGCAAGGTCGAGTTCTTGAGAAGAGTACGAATACAACATGCTTCGGCGTTTTATAGACTGTGGTGTTGAACTGTTAACCGTTTCTTTGTTTTTTCTACTTTTTAGTAATGACTGCGATGTTTAACTTTTTAAACTTTGTTTTCTTCATTTTTCTGCCTTGTAACAAGATTCTGTACCTAGGTACCTTTGTACGCAAGATGTCGCCGTACGTGGTGACTTGTACACTTTTCACTGTACTCATGTGAGTACATGACAATAAACATAATTTAATTTAACTTGGCACAAGGAAGCTCATGGATTTTAAATTTATTAGTTTTAATGATAATTGGTTAACTATCTGGTTTATTGACGCCCTTTAGGCAAGGAAATTTGCTGTCCTTACCTGGTCTGGATTACATGTGTCGCCAGCAATGTGACTGTCGCTCAGCTAACTTCTGAAAAAAGATTGCTTAGTCTGCAATAGTCTGGGAACTCCTTGGGCATACTCACTTTGCTGGTGTTAACTCAGCAGAAATGTCAGATTCAAGCAAGTCACTGAATTCAAGAGTAGTTAAGGATGAGTAAGAAATGCTGGCCTTGCCAATGATACCCATATCACAAGAAGAATAAACGCCTTAAAATATACTTGAGCACCAGCTGTACAAATGATGCAAAAATAAGTTGTGTTTATAAACAGTAGTTGGTACAGGTCATGAATTACAAAAGCAAGGACTAAAGAGTCTGGGAATCTTTGGCCTAATCTAAAGCCTTAATACTGTACTGCCAGTACATCGTATTGATGGAGGTGCTATCTTTAGGTTAGATGCTAAATCAAGTTCCCATCTGTCCTGAGGTGGCATTACTTGAAGGGAAACAGGTAAGTTCTCGCAATTTTCTGAGCAAAATTTATACCTCAGAACAATACCTTGAAAACAGATCATTTTTTCTTTAATGTCACAATTATTTGTGGAAACATGCTATGGGGATTGTCTGGCCTCAGCTTGCCTACCTAGTGAAATAACCGCTTTGGGACTGTTGAGGGGAACAAAAGAACAGAAGAATAAAAAAAAAGAGGGACCCAGTTTCTGATTTCAGTCCACTGAGACATGTACAAAACTATCTGAAGAGTGAAACACATGTGCAAATGTTCTGCCAACAAAACAATTTCTGCAGGTTACTGATGAGGTGAAGCAAGGCAGTAAGCAGCGAATATATCAGTGTCTGATCAGCTCCCTGCTCACAAAACAGAAATGCAGTCAATACTAAATGTAACTTTTCATTCCAACTATTAATTTTAAAATTATTTAGAAAACATACTAATTATAGATATGCTGGTGTGCTACTGACTTGATGCACACCAGAAGAAAAGCATAACATAAGTCATATAACTACCACATTAATAAACTGTACTAGCAGGATAATTTTCCAAGTCTATGCTTTCAAACTTGTGGAAACTAGAGTCTAATTGCAGCATCAACTTGTTCTTCCTGATCTCACCTCTCCCAAATGGGAATCTCCCAGAGGTCCTTTTGTCTCTGGATTAGTTATGATAACCTTAACTCCAGGAAGAATCTGCAATAGAAACAAGATTAAAATGCCTACATTCTTATTGATTCAACAGTATTGCACATATTATAAACAAGATCAGCCAAAATAACCAAGAAAAACAGTAGAATTTCTTATTAATGGTCTATCTTCAGCACTGGAAGTTTAAAAATGTAATAGGTTGACCAGGACTTCTCAAAACCTGCTATATCTCTAACCATACCCAATTCTGATGAAGGCCATTGACTACACAAGTTCTGTTTCTCTCTCCACAGTTTTTTTTAAAAACGCTTTTGCTAAGTTTTTCAAGAACTTCCTGTTTTTCAGCAATCACAATACCTTGCTTTAATAAAAACTCAGACTGTCAATTATTGACAGACCAAGGAACTAGTGAATCTAGATGCCAAGAACACAGAGGGATTCTCAAATGTCTCAAGTAATGTAACATTTACAGACAACAGAAAGAGTACAAGTGTCCAATATTTGATGAAATCTGCAAACTAGAATGATTTGATAATCATTGATAATCACAGAGACTAATTTTTTCCATCATTTATATCCCAAATGGTTTACCAGTGAATGCAATTATTAATTGGTCCCCGCTTCGTCAATGATGCTGGGATCTGAGGACACTTGCTATAATTAGCAAGCCAGCTGATCAGGACAAAAGAAAGCCAAGAAAAAGGAAAGCTAAGTGTCTGTCAAACACCTAGCCATTTCATTGTAGATTTTATCCAGACTTTTCTTCGATAATTAGGTGTCCTCTAATTGTTGGAACTGGCACAGTGTTTTTCCGAATTGACTGCTTTTTCCTCTTTCTTTCCACGAGATTGCATGATACTGTAATCAAAACACCAGTCCATGCCCTGCTCCGAGAGATCAGCCAGGGTCATCAACTGAGGGGGAAAATTTTCAGAGTGGTTCGAATATGGAATGAATTGTCCGAGGAAGTGGTAATTACAGCTATAGTCTCAACATTTAAAAGACATTTGGACAGGTACATGAATAGGAAAGGTTTAGGGGGATATAGGCCAAATGCGGACAAATTGACCATTTAGTTTGGGAAATCTGGTCAGCATGGAGGAGTTGGACTGAAGGGTCTGTTTGCTTGCCATATGACTATGGCTCAAAAGATCTGCTGCAGTTTTGAACTTTCCTAGAATCAGGAATTCCACAACCCCTATTCTTGTTTTTATTCTGCACTCTCTGCTTTGAAACAAAATTAAGACTGGCAGTACCAAACTGGTACTTGGTGTTTTATTTCGTCTGATCCTTACATCTTAGTAATGTATAACATTATGGACTGTAGCTCTTCTCCTTTCTTTCTAAAGAAGAAATATTAATCTGAGGCAAACGAGAAGGGAATTGTTAGTCTTTCCTGGTATTGTGGAATCCAACATACCACATGCAAAATTACCAGTTTTTTTTTTTCAGATCTGTTGATCTGATTAAGGTCTGACGTAGTTCAAGATGTGCTGTTTACTCTCTAATGTTAACTGGACAATCAGCAATTTTTTCAAACCTCTCTGAAAAGATTTTTTTTTTGATCCACTTACCTTTCCTGACTCCATTAGTGGAAGGCTATGTGGGGAGCCTCTCTCCACCAAACGCACCCTACAACCAAAGAAATGAGATTTTGTTGAGGAAAGGAAGAATACTATATAGTTCAGTATAAAAATATGTGCACATTGTGCATAAATCTCCTGTAGTTCTCCCCCAACCCACCTGTCAAAATTCTGGCAAAGTTGGTGCGTCATTTCAAATATGACCCATCTTGGAAACAGTTTTTCCCACTTTATCAATATAGGTTATCTGGCATGGGCAAGTAACATAAATGAATGGCAGTCTTGTCTCTTTGGAACACTGCACGACCACATATATCACTCACTCGTGCTACATAACTGAGCTGATGGGCTACTTCGTTTTCAAAAGCTCAAGTGCTCCAGCAAAAGAAAAAAAAAAATCGTCCATATGCTAGAAGTGGGTTTTTCAATTTTATTTCAGAAATTACATTTGAAAATACCTTACCAGAAACAAAGATTTTTCTTTGCAGGGAGATTGAAAGCAAATGATCTCAAAAGAACCAAGACTCTGGCAGAATTAAGATCCTACTTTGCAAAATTCTATTTAATACTGATATCAATGCTTGATTTCACTTTGTTGATCTGTGTATGTAGAACAAAAAGCCCCAATATTACAATTTCCAGGGGGTCTTTGAAGTGGCAAGCTGTTTCGCAGGAACATTCTTGGACAACATACAACACTTAAGCACAGGCAGCTATCAGGACAGATGACCAAATGGAACCTATGCTGCATCTTCCATGATGGTGCCAGACAGCAAACTGCATTGGCATTTCACAAGAAAATTGCAATTCTGGTATAGGATAAAGAGTTTTGTGTGAACTTTGTGGACACCCACTAAAATCAGCAAAATCCAACATAAATATGATGTGTGTGTTTAGAATTTACACAACAAGGCTTCTTTAGCAGCAGCAGTTTCAATATGGAGGAGATGAGACAATAGAGAATTGCAAACTTTCCAACTATAGCACACAGATCTCGGAATTAATGGAGGCTTAATGCTGACATTCCTATAATTGTCGAGTTTTGCAGCAGAAAACATTTGGAACACTATGGCAGATCTTTCCACAGTTACCTCAGTCTCAGTGATCTCACTATGAGGGACAAGATTACACCTATTACTTGAAAGTGATTAATAGAAAAACTTCAGAATTAGTGCTTTAGCATTTTCAAAAATAGCCCACACCATGGAACAGTCAAAATTACAGAGCTATTAAGGCTCTATTTATACATTCAACATCCTTACAAAACAGTATTTAAATATTCAGTGTTAGAGACACCAGCTGGACAGCTTGTGCATTCTGGATGAAAAATCTCTTAATATGCTATTTACAGCAGGTTTGAATAAAGGCAAACACCAAATCTAATTTTTTGTCAACATTTCTCCATGGAATTGTATTAAAATGACCATAAAGTGAATTGAATCATTGACTGACAAGAGCAGTGATTTCTTCACTCAAACAAGATTTTGAATTATTCAATTCAGAGTGTTGTGGACGCTTCATCATTGAGTGTATAGTATTCAAGCACAAAATAAACAGATTGGGAGATCAAGGCATTTGGAAGGTAGCGGTGTGAAACGTGAAGTGGAAGATCAACCATGACAGTGGCAGAGCAAACTGGTTGGACCGTATGATATAATCCTACACCTGGGCATTACACTCATGAATAAATGGGCTAATAGAATGATTTTTGTACCTTACTGGAAAACAAGAGACTTTTAAATTGGAAAAGTTTTGGAAAAAAACTGTACACTGTTTACAGCAATTCATAGTTTAAATCAATGACTTAATACTTGTAAAACTATTAGGTGTAGCAGCAGCAGTAGACCATTCAGCCATCGAGTCTGGTCCACGATACAATGAGATGATGGCTGATCTGATAACCCCCAACCCCCCTTTTTTGCCTGAGCCCGTGACCCTTGATTCCCTTGCTAATTAAGAATTTGAGAGGCAATAATTTCCCCTTCATGAAGTCACACTGATTTTGCTCTAATAAATACATATACGTTTTTCATTAATCTAGTTTTCTAATCAACATGTTCAGAGATGTTATTACACACCTCTGGAGTAGGTGGGAGTCGAACCCAGGCCTCTCAGCAGAGGGGTATAGACACTACCACTGCGCCACAAGAGGGCCCTTTCTGCTCAAATTATATTTGGTATTTCTAAACGCTCCATTACATCCTTTAAAATGGACTCTAACATTTTCCAAATGACAAATATTAAACTTACTGGGGCTATGGTTACTTTTATTTTGTGTCCCTCCCTTTTTTCTAATCCACTGTGACTTTTCCAGGGCCTAAGGATTCTTGGAATATTATTAACGGTGCACCCACTATCCTTCTTTCATACCCTAGAATGTAACCCATTAGGACCTGGGGACTTAGCATTCTTTAGTTCCATTAGTTCCCCAAGTACTTCTTCTCAGGGAGGTAGTTATTGTATTTGTTTTCCCTCATCCTTTTTCCCTTTATTATTCAATAGGTTTGCAATGCTATTGGTGTCTTCTACTGTGAAGAATCGTGCAAAGTATTTATGTTAACTCCCAGCAACTTCCTGCTTGTTCATTATTGTTTCTTCAGTCTCACTATCTAAGCAACAAGTGTTTACTTTTGCCTCTCTCTACATTTTAACATATTTAAAGAAGCTCTTGCTTCCCATTGTGATAATTCTTGTGGCATTTACTCTCAGTTTATTTTTTGGTCATCTTAAAACATACCAAACATTGTACTCTTTTCTTTTTACTTGATACTATCCTCAGCTTCCTTCGTTAACTGTGGTCAGTTAAGCCTCTTTCTAGAAACCCTGATCCTCAATGGGATATATCTTTGCAGTAATGATCTACTTTCTTAAACACTCGCCCCATTCCTCAACTCCCTTTTTACGTCCATCGCAGCCAAATCTGTGCTCATCGCTTTGTAATTACCCTTATTTAAATGCAGCACAGTTGTTTCCAACCAAATTTTACACATTCTAACTGAATCCTTCCATGTTGTAGTCACTGTTTCTTAGGAGAACTTTTATTCTGACATCATTTATTAAACTCATTTCTTCACACATAAACAGAAGCAAAATTGTCTGATCCCTGGTTAAACACATAACATATTGGTTGAGGAAACTGTCCCAGATTCACCCCATGAATTCTTTCTCATTGCGACCTCTGCCAATTAACGAAAAGATTAAAGCCACCCATGATTAATGTAATGCTTTTTTTCTTGCCCTCGTTATCTCCTGACATATTCTATTTTACAATACAGTTAGTGTCGTCTTCTCCTGGTTTTATCTTACCTCCTTAAAAATGAATTCGACATCTTTTGATCCAAGATCATCTATTGCCATTTTACTAATTCCATCTCGTCCTAATAAATCTACTGCACCACCCTTTTCTCCCTGCCTGTCTTTTCAAAAAGTCACATACCCCTGTATATTTACTTCCCGGATTTAATCTCCTTGTAAGCAGATCTCAAATGGCAATAAGATTATCCCCATTAGTCTGAATTGTTCCAAATATCACTTATATTTAAGTAAAGAGCGATTCATTTTGGCCTTTTAAACTATTTTTTTCTTACCTGAACCCAATTTTCTGCTGCCTTTCTATGCTTGTACGCTGTCCCTTTCTGGGTGTCATTATCCAAATAGGAGCCCTGCAAGGCTGCCAGAACCTTTTGCTTTCCAAGCCTACATTTACCCTCTTGCAAAACCTCCTCCTCCTCCTCTAATTAGTTTGAAGCTATCCCTACAAGCCCTAGTTATTTCATTATTTTAAAATAGAGCATTGAAGAATTTCGTACAGTATACATCCTCACTTCAAGTTTGGCCTACATTGCTGAAAATCGAGACTAAGTGCAATTACAGTCAGAATTCTCATGTGAATCAAGTTTTAAGCCAGAGTTAGACTCCTTTGGTCATTTCTCTCCTGAAATAAAAATGTTCGCATTAAACCACTGTAGCATACATATGCAAATTATTTCTATTATTAATGTAAAGTAAAATAGACTACTACATATAAATGAAATACAAGAATGAATACATGTACAATATTTAAGAAAATATGCTCATTTATACTGCGCAGTATTTTCAGGATCCATCTAGTGGTAGACATTGGTTGGTACAGATAGCAACTGAAGTTCCAATAATAGTAGCAACAACCAACCTCTACTTCAAAATGGAGCACAAGACTTCACTGCAAGTTCAGAACAGGAGCCAGGAGTGAAGTCAGTAACCAACACTCCTCTGTAAATTCTGCTTGTAGAAGTGTGCACATTTTATGAGGTTTTAGTTTGATCAGAACTGAAGCAATATTGACTTCATTTAACAAGTCAGAAATGTTAACTAGATCATAAATATTTATACAGGAAGGCAATTGCTTAGTGGTATTATTGCGAGACTATTAATCTAAAAATTCAGCTAATGTTCTGGGGACCCAGATTCGAATCCTGCCACGGCAGATGGTAGTAAATCCAATTTTTTTTTCTAAAATCTGTAATTAAGAATCCACTAATGACCATGAAAGCACTGTAAATTTCTGGAAAAATCTGACTTAATTCCAGGGAAGAAAATCTGCCACCTCACCTGGTCTGGCCTGCATGTGACCCCAGAACCACAGTGATGTGGTGACTCTTAACTGCCTTCTGAAATCACCTAGCAAGTCACCACGAAGTCTCAACAAAGAAGTGAAACCGTTGGATCACCTGGTGTCAACTTAGGCAGTGGAAAAGACAAGGCAGAAACAGTCCTGTCAAGCCTATAAAGTCCTCCTTACTAACTTCTGGGGGCTAGTGTCAAAATTGGGACAGCTGTCAAGCAATGACTTGACAAATATGACATTGAGTCATACCTCTCAGACCATATTCCAGACACCATCATCACTGGACATGTCCTGTCCCATCAGCAAAACAGATTCAGCAGAAGTGGTAGCACAGTGGTATTCGGTTGGGAGGGAGTTGCCCACAGATTCTTTGAATTCTGACCCCATGAAGTCCTATGGCCTCAGGTTTAACAGAGGGAAGGAGACCTCCTGGTGACCATGTACCACCCTCCCTCGGCTGATGAATTGGTATTCTTCCACGTGGAACACCTGGTAGAAGCACCGAGAGTGGCAAAGGTGTAAAATGTACCCTGGGTGGGGAAATGTCAATGTCAATATGTGCAGCATAAATCCCTTAAATAATAAAGGCAACATTGCCCTACCAGCAGAGAAGCTTCTCACTTGCACCCTCAACTGACTACTCAGACATCGTGGAGATTGCAATAATACAGTAAACTCCTGGTATTTGAGGTATATAATTTTTGCTGGTTTATCAAGAATGCTGGTTAAAACAAAAAGTTTACTGTAGTGGTAATGTGATCTTCTATTTAAAACAGGAAATGAAAATATCCCAGAGAACTATAGGTCAATTGGTTCAACATCAGTGGCAGACAAGGTGATGGGATCTTTACCCGAATACGTAATAGCAGATCACTAGACAATGCAAAAAAAGTGATAAAAATAATCAGCACGGGGTAAAAAGGAAGGTTGTGCTTTGAGGAACTTCATCGAATTCTTTGAAGGCATAACAGAAGTCAGAGCATTTGGAGTCAGAAAGGAGGATCAGAAAGGTATGATGAGAGGACACCCCACTGAGAAGCTCTCCAAATCAGGATCAGAACTATGATTCAATCTGAAATAATTCCTTCCTCACATGTTCAATAGCTATTCTTCAGAGTAAAGGTGTAATGAACCCTGTACTCCACACACAGAATTATATCCTGGGGAGGAGGAATGAAGGTGGGTTGGAAAGGGGACCGAGGAAAAAGCACACTGAATAGTTACTGTGTCAAGACTTAACGATTGTAAAAGGGAGACAAAGAGTTTCCATTTGCAGAATAAGTGCAGAACTAGGGACAGAACTAGATGGAAGATAATCAACAATAAAATCCAAAAGGGAGAAAAGACAAACTTTTACACACAGAATGGTTGAAATGGGGAACTCACTAATACAAGGAGAAATTGAGGGGAATAGAATTCAAGGGGAAGCCAGCTAACCAGAAAGGAGAAAGCAACAAAAGAACACATTGAATGAGTTAGATCAAGTATGGTGATTTTTACTTACCACTATGCACCCGAGTCAAGCATAATACTTGTGTATTGTGAATACTTTACACTACTTTGTAAAACCAATTGACTGAAAATACTGCATATTGCATACGCAGTGAAGGAAATTCAGTATTCAGATATTTCTGCTTTTCTGGGTCTAGATGAATGATGCAAAGTAATCAAGTGTGTGAAAAGTTGTCAACAAAACTAAGTCCAAAAGAAATTGGTTTAGGCATACCTGTCATGCCGGAGGGCTCTCATATCCACAAAGACAGTGGTTGGGTCTGGTCCAGACGTTCCCTAGTAAACAAAGACATTGATGTCAGAAGAATGAACGTGACACAGCCATTACTTTAAGTAATTCAAATAAACTTAGCTACACAACACATCTCAGTAGGGCTGTAACATGGTGTCCTGCCAAATCTGCAGATGCCAGAAACAGCTTTAAACCAAGAAACATTCAAAATTACAAAGCACTACTTATTTATACTTCCATGATTATGTATCCTCACAAACATAATTACACATTCAGCATAACAGGTGCTATCATAACAGATTACAAATCTCTTCATCAATTTCGATATTACTTTTTGAACAGCAAAAAAAAAAAACAACCGACTCTCTTGAGTTGGCCTCAAGCTGTAATTTTATTTCTGGCTTCTTGGCTTGAAAGGGCAAGAGTGAATGCAGTTGTATAGCAGGTGGAATCTGGCACCCTGCTATGTGTAGGCTGTAATGTTATTTATAAACTAGGGTAAAAATAATAGAACTTTAACAAATGACAAAAAAAACAAACAGCCCTGAAGAATCGATTAGAGGAGGAAGGAAAGTGCAAGAGAAACAGGCACAGACACATCCGAGAGATTTCTGCTGCTTAATAGGAACTTGGAAATGGATAATATTTACGCTCTAGTCACATCTATGCAATAAACAATTTAACCCAAGAAACTGCATCTGTGCTTGTAAGCTATATTCATTAGTTACATATTGCTAGATTGCTTTCTACATGAAATTCCAAATAAATTCTGGATTATGAAATTGCACAGTTTTTAAATAAAGCAGTGATTCTCAGCTTTGTCAGTCTAAAGATAAAGAAAGATAAAATTTTGCTAGTTGGTCAAGTAAAGGACAAGGGGCAAAATAAAACAAATTACTCTACCTGCTCAGCCAGCTTGCCCAGCCTGTGTGGCTGAGAGTGCGAGGGAGGAGGAAGCGAGGAATGGAGATGATACAGGTCAGCCCAGAGGGAGGAAGGGACAGCCAGATTTAAAGAGAGAGAAGCATAAGCAAGAGACAAGAGACAAACAGAAATAGCAAAAGTGTTACTGGAAACACTGAAAAAGCCAACAAAGTCACCCTGATGCTCTAATACAAAGATCTCAAAATATACATACATACACATACACACACACACACGCACAAAGCACAGCCATTACATAACTTGTGTTGTAGCTTTATACGTAGCATCTCAACAAAGCATCGAGAAAGGCATGACGGTGTAAACCTTTTCATATATCAAAAAGACTATTTGTTGACACTTTCTCACATTGTTTGCACTCTCAATTTATATCAGCCATTGAGATTAAAGAAAGTGAGAACCAGGTGTGCAAATTTAGAATTTTCCTTCCAAGTATTACAACACAGATGTACCTCAAAAGCGCAGAATGAAGTGTTACCCATTCAGTGAGATGGGAATGGGACTGTTAACTATATTAAAGTCACATTACTGTATACATTGACCGGATTATCTTCTTTTGGAAGACGGGACAGTAGTGTCTTATGAATTGTTTTTCTTTCAATGGACAATACAGCCTCAAATTAGTCAATCAGGTCAGAGATGGTTGATAGCTTCCCCTACAGTGCAGACAGCTTTAATATAGTTGCATCATACGACTGAGCAATTACATAATTCCAGACAAGACCAACAAGCTTGCAATGTTGGCTATTTTACTGGCAACAATGAAGCACGAGATGGGTGGACTTTCTGCAGCAATAGGAAGAAAATACAAGACTGTGCCAAATGCTCGTTAGAAGAAGAATGAAGAAGAGGTTTATGAAAATGATTCCAGGGATGGGACACTTCAGTTCTCAGGAAAGATTGGAGAGGTTGAGATTGTTTTTCTTGGAGAAGAGGGCTAGGAGGAGATTTGATAGAAATGTTCACTATCATGAGGGTTTGGGCAGAGTTGATAGGGAAAAACTGCTCCAGCTTGTAAATAGATCAAGAACAAGAGGGCATAGATCTCAAGTGTTTTGCAAATCAGTGGCAGAGAGAGGTGAGAAAAATCTTTTTCATACAATGAGTAATTAATGTCTAGAATGCACTGCTTGGAAGTGTGGAGGAGATAGGTTCAATTAAGTATTGAAGAGGCCATCATTTCTGTTTAAATACACATGTAATGTGCAGGGTTATGGGGAAAAGGCAGGAAATTGGCACAACATTAAAATGCACTGAGTCAATGCAGACATGATAGACTGAATAGTCTCCTTCTGCATCATGACAATTCTGCGATTTTGTGAAAGGCTATTCCAATGTGTTCTCAGCTTGTATTTAGTATAGAGGACGGAATTCTCACCTGTAAGCAGATGGCCACATTGACCCTGCAACCAAAAGTTGTACTGACTGCCCTCGGAGATAGTCCAAGATCCTTAAATAACTTGGAGAAGGATTGTGTTAACGCTATTCGTGGTCGCTCCTCTGCGACAACCATGCATGTCCGAACACAGGACAAGTTCACACCTTTTGCCTGAAGAAAGAAAATGTTTAGAAGCAACCCCAATGCGCACAATGACAAACAAGACAAAAGGATATTACACCTGAGATTTTAAACACAGAAGCCAAAATAACTTCATTAGGTACACATTGCATTCAATTTTGCAATTTGAAATGGTTCTGACCTTTGACATGGAGGAATATGATTTGAAGGAAAAGTAAGTAACCATTAACTTGCCAGCATCTTCAAATCAATGACCGAGCTCTTTTGGTAAATTCCAGGCATGCTACTGATTCCTACCTTCAGCGTATCTGTTTGTGCACCCAGTCCTTTGGTACACATCTCCATTACAGAGTAGGAACAAAAAGTTACACGCACTTTGTACTGACTAACTGCAGACAGCCAGAGGGAGACATTAGTCTCTAATTCAAGTGGAGGAACCAGGATAGACTGATGACCTGAATAAACACTGGGGGGAGAAAACAGATGCTTAACATTGTGAAAATGCATATCTGGTGTGCCTCACAGTATAATATTGAAAATGAAACAACTGACCATGGAGATCATGAGGAAACCTCAACACCAAACATTTAAAAATACACAGTTGTTTGTAGGTAAACAAAATGTTTTAAAACAATTCAAAATGTGATTAAGCTTGTTGACTCCAGTGCTTTAGTGATGGCTTTTAAACCTCAATAAAAAATACTGCCCACCATTTAACCTCACTCAACACCAAGTTGAGAAATTGAAAATATGATCAGGGAAATAATATACCTGGCAGCATGAAAACTGAACACTTTCAGGAATGCAAATTAAGATTGTAACATTTCAGTCTTCAGAAACAAACAAATGATTTCTGTTTAATGGAAGGGACACATGCAAACATTTGGTTAAAATTAGGTGGAGTACATTTAAGCTAAAAAAAATGACAAATCTGCAGAGAAACAAGTATGAATTGATTTACAAATCCAGATGCAAAAATTATTTGCACCAAAACAAATTTACAGGACAATAAGAACAATATTTACTTCTCTGAATACACTGCTGTGGAACACAAACCAGTACTGCTATTTATTCATTCCAGTGAAAATATAGATGATATTTTACCACTGTATTATGTCTACTTCCAATTATCTTATCTCGCAGAGACTGTCATAAAATGAGGTGGTCTAGGGTTGCTGGCAGTATTATTTCTAGATGCCAGAATCTCATCCTAAGTGCCTTTGAGTCCAGCATTTCAAGACAGTGATATTCAGCATTTTAAGTTAGTTTCTTTTAACTGATTCTTATTATTCTACGCAAGACTGGATGAGTGGCATGTCACTAGATCTCCATACTTGCTTTAACTATCTCATTTCTGCTTCATCCTTTCAGGGTATTGCCTTGTGTCTACTGGTGCTTCCCCTTAGCAGTGTAGAAGAAACCAGAAGCAATGATGCAAAAGGTGCAATCTTGAACTTGCACAGCAGTAGGCTCAACTCGCACATTAATTTGTCCACGCAGTGTGTCATCACACCACGAAATCATGTTGTCTTAATAGCAGAAAAAATGCAATTTTCCGTGTGCTGCATAGAGCACGCAAGATTTTCTGTTTACAATATGCTGTTTCTGAATCAAAACATACATCCTCGATTTGGGTTTGGATTATCATAAATACTGGGAAGTAATGATCACAGTTCCATACCTTTAACATCAATCCACACCACAAGATTGCATTATGCTTGCAATTCTGACCTTGGCTTTACTTATTCATAATTAGATCTATATATTGGTCCTTGACAGATAAAACTTTTACGAAATGGTGTCTCTGACTCACATTTGCTGTCACTGCAATTAAGTACATGGAACCAAATAACTCCAATCTCTGGCAAAAGTACAAATTGGTAAATTACACAACTACCATAATTGAACAGAGTTCCTGTACTTCAGTTTGCATGGCTATAATCAATCAAGTTTGGCAGCAATTGACTTACCTGCAAAGACACCACAGTGCAAAACCAAGACCACAGTAGGGGTCAAGGCAAACTGCAATCTGTCGGGAAGGGTACAGCTCACACTGCAACTTAATAGAACGACACATGGCACTTGTTGCTTCATGGGACATCTGTTGACAATGAGAAAAATATTCAAAAAGGCATATAATTCTAGATTTCCCTTTTTTCCCCCAATGTAAATTTCAAAATTTAAATCCATGGAAGGTTACCACACTACAGGCGAGGGAAGAGGTTGAGAGGGAGAGCCCTTCGTGGTAACTTCAGTCAGTGCAGGAACTGAACCCATACTGCTGGCATCACTGCCTCACAAAACCAACAATCCAGCCAAGTGAGCTAAAGGACCCGTGTTTACAATTTTAGCTACACCTCAAAAGTACTTAATTGGCTGTGACGCACTTTGGGACATTCTATTGTCAAAGTTATTACAAGTAGAGGTGATTTTCTTTCTTACTCAAGTCTTCATTTTATGCTGGTTGGTTTCGGCACTTTTACCAATTGAAATTCCTCATACTAACTGGATGTATGGATCAAAATGGAAATATGTTACAGCTGGAATTTTATAGTAAACAGAACTTTTACTCTATTTGAGTCTTGTTTCATGGACAGGACTTCAGAGATGCCCTTTCGCCAGAGGTATGATGACAGTTCTTATTATCTCAGATTGTGCACTGTAGTTAGAGTCAGACACGCATTAAATCCTCCAGTAATGCCCATACTATAATCCATACACTGGATAACCAAGCAAAACATTTATACAGTGAGGGGCATGGAATATCAAACTATATTGTGGAATTTGCTGATTTTCAGAATTTCATAGCTACCTTAATTAGCACATACATTTATCCATAGAAAAAACTCCATACCTTCACTCCTGCAAGAATTCCAGTGGTGGATACACTGAAGTCCAAATAAGCCAACATTTCAGGTGTTGGTGCTTTGTATATTTGGGGAGGCTTCTTTCGGGGCAAGTCATCTAATTGAAAGGCATAAATCATGATTAGTGCAAATTATTAAAATACCAATAGCAAACTCACCATGAAAAGGTAAACATTTCAATTTCCCATATTTGTAGTTTCCTGAAGATCGACCTTTTACTGACACTCAAATTTACAATCACCGCACAAGCAGCAAAATAAATATGGGTTAGATCACAAAATGTCCTTAAATAGGCTGTTCTTAGAGTTCGCATTGGCTCTTGTTACTTTCTCAGGGCAGAGGAAGATTAGCTACTTCCATTAATTGCCAGAGATGTTTACAATGTGCAAGCGATCTAATATCCAGTTAGCTTTCAGTGTGACAACTGTAACCGGAGGAACTGAAATTCATTGATGTATGCCCTTCACCAATCTTTCTAAGGTGAACTGAAGTATTTTCATGAGATGAAGCCAATTCAAAACTGTCAAGTTGACAATCACAAAGTGAATGTAGAGTGACTGTTTTAAATCAACTATCTTTAACAAATTGAAAAATGAAGGAACCTTATTAAAAGAACATAATGATAAGAAAGAAAATAGTAAATAATTCAGAACCTCAAGCCTACTCCAGCTTCAAATAGAATCATGGTAAATTTGATCTTGGCTTCAATTTCACCTTCCTTTCACAACTTTTAGCTCCCTTGTAATATAAGAAAATGTATCAAAATTAGTTAAAACCACTGTCCAACTAATTTGCAGGATTTTTTAAAACTAAAATCCTACCGGTATCCAAAACTGTGGGCCAGCTCTTGATGTCCACGGCTGCAGCTGCCTCCTTTGAGCGGAGCAGTTTTAATATAGCTTGTGTTGTGAGTATGCAGACAGATTTGCTTACCTAGATAGAAAAAAAGGAACAAAAATGATAACACACCTCCAAAATCATTTGGGATGTTCAGTCAATGACCAGAATTTGTTTGGCAATAGTGGGTGTACCGTAGAAATGCTGGGCTGTCCAAAACATCAATTTAGTCATGCAATCATCCATTATTTTCCTACGGGTGTTGGCACCATATTGCAACAATATTCCTCATGCAAATAAGTTGTTGTAGCATTCCTACACATTGTCAAATCAAAAATCTGAAACTAAAGTAGTAGAACCTGCCAACTGGCAAAGAAAAATGATAATGACATTTTGATGAGGTGTTTTTAAACTGTTATTTATTATTTGAAAATTCTAGCCACAGTTAGTTTTGTTTCAATCTCCAATATGAATATCAAGTCACTTTAATTACAGTAAAACAGAGCAGTAACATGCTCTTTGATATATACAAGTCTAAATAAATGAATAACCAACACAGTGACAAGTGTTACTAGTGTCTGCTAAAGACAAAATACTCAGAATTTATACTGGAAAAATAAAATTATCTCGTATTGATTTTTGAAAGTTTACAGCTGGAGACACTGTGTAAAATTGGTGAGGAGATTTAGTGGAATTCATCTTAATTTTATATTGACAGAGTTCCATGGCCATCCTGATGGATTACAGGCGAATGACAAATGTGAAGTACGTTTTGAGAGCCTGAGGTCATTTTTGTCTGGCAAAAAACAATATTGATAAAAGCAACTCGCTTAATGTGACCTCACCCCACCACCTCCCCCCATTCCAACATCCCATTTACAAATAAAACAACATATTTACATATACAGCACATTTTTCACAACCAGACTTCTCAAAGCACTTTACAGGCAGTTTCTAAAGTGTCACCACTGTTACAATAGGAAAACAGGAACAAGAAGGGACCATTCAGCCATTCAAAGTTACTCGACCATTTATTAAAATCACAGCAAATCTGATCTTGGCTTCAACTCCACATGCCCTTCACAACTTTGGAGTTCCCTTGTATTATCAGAAATCTGTCAAAATTGATCAAAAACAATGTAAAACTAATTCGCAGAACTTAAAAATTGAAATCCTACCAGTATCCAAAATTGTAGGCAAACTCAATCTTCATGGCTGTAGTTGCCTCCTTTGTGAATATAGCTTGTGAGAGTTTGCAAACAAATTTGCTTAGATCAGGGCTGATCTGGTTGTGACAACAACTTCATTTTCCGGTTTACCGCCACCACCCTCAACTACCCTGTCTATCAAAAACCATCTGAGCCTCAAATAAACTTAAATGTTTTCTGGGAAGAGCATTTCATAAAACATCAACTCTCAGAAATAATTTCTCTTCATCTTGTCTGTAAAGTGAATACTTTTATTCTTAAACTGGGTATCCCAGTTTTCAGTTTCTCCTGTCTAGTTTCCTCAGAACTTGCATGTTTCAATAAAATCGCCTCTTTCTTCTCAACTTCAATAGGTAAAGCCCCAAATGTTGTACATTTCTTCATAAGAAAAGCCCTTTATCTCAGAAATTAATCAAGTGAGCCTTCTCTGAACTGCTGCTAACACAACGATATCAGTTTTCAAATACAGGACGAAAATAGGACATAGCATTCTAGACTTACCAAACCCCCGGATAGTTACAATAAAATTTCCTTTTTTTTTTTTTATTCCATTCCCTTGCTATGCACACCATTAGAATATAAAATGAAGAGGAACTAGCAATTCAGCTCATTCGAGTCTGCTGTGCCATTTAATGCAATCATGGCTGATCTCATCTCAACCTCACCTTGTCTGCCTGCTCCCCAAAACCCTTCAAATTACTAATTCAAAATCTGTCCATTACCTCCTTAAATTTACTCAATATCCCAGCATTGACTATTCTCTGGGGCAGTGAGTCCGATCTTTTGAGATAAGTAATTCCTCCTCGTAACAGGTTTAAATATGCTACTCCTTAGCCTAAAATTATGATCTCTTGTTCTAGATTGCTGCACAAGGGAAGACATCAGCTCCACATCTACTTTGCAATGTCTTTTAGAATCCTGTATAACTCAACTGGATCGCCCCTCACCCTTCTCAACTCTAGTCAGCATTGGCCTAAACTGCTCCAGCAGCATTCCATTTGCCTTCCTAATCACTTGCTCTATGTACAAACTAACCTTGAGAGATTCGTATGAGGGCATCCAGATGCCTTTGTACCTCTGAGTTCTGCACCTCCTTTCCAGTTAAATAATATACTGTTTTTCTATTCTTCCTGAAAAAGTGGTTAATTTTACATTTTCTAACATAATACGCTATCTGGCAATTTTTCCCCCAACTCAGTTAACTTATCTATATCTGAATGCAGAATCTCTATTTCCTCTTGACAACTTAGTTTCTGACCTAGCTTGGTGTCATGGGCAAATTTAGCCACTACGCACTTAGTCCCTCCATCTAAGTCAGGCACAATGATTGTAACTTTGAAAACCCAGCACTAATCCTCATGGCAATCCAAAAGTTAGTTTGCCAATCAAAAAAGGACGAGTCTTTTCTTACTCTGCTTCCCGTTAGCAAAGCAATCCCTCACCCACGCCAATGTGTTACTTTTACACCTTGGGCTCTTATTTGGTGTAGAAACCTCTGATGAAGCATGCTATCAAAAATCTTTTGGAAACCTAAGTGCGTCACAGCCACAGGTTCTCCCTTATTTATCCTGCTTGCTCCTTCCTCAAAAACTCACGTACTGTACTATACACTGCTGTCCTATTTTTCTAATCTACCTGCTCAGAGATGTTATTACACTCGCTTGACTGTCCTATCCTTGAGTTTCCCAGATCACTTTAGTGCATTCTGTCTTCAGTTTATATTTACCATTAATTATATTTAAGACCCTAGGTTTAGAACCAAATTTATCCCCTTCAAATTGAAGGTTTAATTAATCTTGTTTCCATGCTTATCACTAAGAACTTGCTGCTCTAAGAAACTGCCCAGGTGACACACACTGAACTTATTTTCAAGGCTACTTTTGCCAATTTTGTTTGCCTAATCAATGTGGATTAAAATCATCTATGATAATGAAGTACCCTCCTCATATACCTCACTTAGTTCTTCCTGTATACTCATTCCTGGAGTGTATGCTAGTTCCAAAGCAGTGACTTCTATCTTTCCTATATCTTACTGCCATCAAATCTAACTCGATATCTTTCTTTTTCAAAAGAAGATAATTTCCTGCAATTGCGTCGATTTTTAAACCTTAATTAATAAGCTAGCCTATCACATTTTCCTAGCATATTGTCTTTGTAAAATGTCAAATAACCTTCCATATTTAAGTCCTAGTCATGCCTCTATTATCAGGGTCATATACATTTTTTCTTCTACATGCTACAAGTATCAGAAATAATAGCACCTTGATTTTTTTCAAACATTTTTGCAATCTCTGGCCTTAACTGCTGTATCCTTAAGCTTGTATACTCTGTCCATTCCTGTCACACTATGGTTATCATAACCCAAACTGCAATGCTGTTTTGTTTCCTTGTTGCTCCTCCTTGATTTAACACATCTCCTCTCACATGATCCTTTCCCCTCATTTTGGTGAAAGCCATCTCTAATGCCTTAGTTATGTAGGAAACAGCAGCTCATAAGCATTCAGACAAATTGACACAAATAGCAATGACCAGATAATATGGCTTTGTGATGTTGATTGAGAGATAAGTGTCAGTCAGGATAAGAGGGATAAGCTGCCTTACTCTTGTTCAAGACATTGCCACCAAATCTTTTACACCCACTCCAGAAGGTAAATGGGCCTTCAGTTTAACATCTCAGCTGAAAGACAGCACCTTTATAAGTGTAATGCTTTCTCAGTACTGCACTAGAATGCCAGTATGCCAGTTTTATGCTAAAGCCCTGGCTTGAACACAAACTCGCGGTTCATACGCAAGATTGTAAACAACTAGGTGTTGGCTGACACATGGCATTTACACAATTATTTGGTACAAAGATGCCTGCTTTTGTCTAGTGCTGGCTTGAGAAAGTTTCCCCATTTACAAGGGAGGTAGAAGATAGTGTTTGTAAGTAAAAGCAAGAAAAATAACCTTTTATTAAGTACAGACCTGTATGAAATAAATTTGGCTGCAAGAACATCAATATTAGTTTATTTCAGTTTGACTGTGTATACTGTCATGAGACAATTTAGCAAACAGATGAGTCAGTTTTAATCCAGAATTTTCATTTGAGCCGTTTGCACCAATATTTCAATGGAAGTGGTCATATAAACAAGTTACTTTCAAAAGAATAATGTAAAACAGCAGCAGCCTTCACACAATTCAACCAAATTTTTTCACATGGACACAAATCTGACAAATGGTAACTGTGTCTCAACCCTTTTCTTTCCGTCTACAATACAAAACATACTATCAGGAGGTCTAACTGTACGAGAGTACCAGTCCTTGATTTTTATCAGATCAGTCAGCTTTGCATTGTCAGGAAGGCAATATCACACCCAGAGTGAGAGACAGCCTGAGTGGCCAGGGGTGAGTGTGGTAGCCATCACCAAGGACAAAGTTCTGGTGAAACGGAAAGGTCTGAAGGTAGATAAATCACCCAGACTATATTCCAGAGATGTGGGAGAGATAGCTGAGGAGATTGTAGAGGCACTCGAGCTGATCTTTCAGGAATCACTGGTGTCAAGGAGGACCTCAGAGGGCTGGAGACATAACACCCTGTTTAAGGAGACAGAGGCAGAAGGCAGGAAACTACAGGCCGGTAAACCTGACCTCTTGCTTTCTTAAAGATAATTCAAATCAGTTATGCCGTAGAGGTGGATATAGTCATGTCAAGGTAATTTCACAAGGCGAGTAATCCAGAGACCCAGGTTACTGTTCTGGGAACATGATTGAAAACCCAACACTCCAGAATTCAGTTAATAAATCTGGAATTGAAAGTTAGTGTAAGCAATGATGAACATGAAACTATTGCCACAAGTTGTAAGAGCTCATCTTCTTCACTGATGTTCTTGAAGGAATCATACCTACCACCCTGACCTGGACTGGCCCACATGTGGCTCGAGACCTAAAGCAATGTGGTTGACTCTTAACTGCCCCCAAAACGATCAAGCAAGCAACTCTGTTCAAAGACGGTTAAGGATGGCCAACAAATGCTAGCCGTGCCAGCAATGCCCATATCCCATCAATGAATAAAACATTTCAAAGTTAATGACATAATTCCTAAAGTTAAAGTCATCAATATTTAAAAGCTAAAATTCTCAGAAAGGTGCTAAGAATTGCTCACTATCATACCTCTACAATCATTTTGACAGTGGGTAAAGTGGTAGCAAGGTTCTGGGGGTGTGGAGGTCGCACGGTGACAGGGACACATCCTGCATAAAGGCACCCATAGAAAGTCATTATGAGGTCGATACCTAAAGAAAGAAGCAGAATGATACACTGTTGTATTGTGGTTTACAAATACATAAATTCTGCAGGAACAGTCTCTTGTTCACAAATGATTAGAAAATTAAATACCAAAGTTGATTCAGTGGCATCCAAGACAGAATCTACACAGTGTGGTAAATTCAGAAACTACAATTATTGATACCAAAACAAAATTTTACAATTTTTGTAAAAATGCATCACTGTCATAATGACTTGTGCATTTTTCCTGCAGAGGTTAAAAAAGTTAAACACCAGTTACAGAATAAAGAAACACGGTTAAGCATTGCTCAGAGCATTCGCACAATCCCA